CACATGTGCACAAGGTGATACACTTGGTGGTTGGCATATTTGAGCAAGGGTTAGAAACTTCACCGGCGCTCTTCACAGAAAAAACGGAGGTCACTGTAAGTGACCGGACGCTGATCTTGGTAGGACCGGCGCGTCCGGTCAGTGGAAGTGTGAAGATGCTGGCATCAGTCTTCGACCGAACGCTGGGTCACTTAGTGACCAGACGCTGACGGGGTGCGTCCGGTCCTGCTGATGTGGCAGCACACAAAGGAGACGCCGTGTGAGTCCGGTCGAGCAGGACCGGACGTGTCCGGTCATGATTTCTCGCTTCTGGATGCTTACTGGAAACGACCGGATGTTGAGGTCCAGCGTTCGGTCACTTCGCAGCAGCGCGTTCGGTCATCACTTAACCGTTGGGATCGGACGCTCAGTATTTGAAGAGAAGGGACACGTGGCGTGCATCGCACGACCGGACGCTGGGGTCCTGCGTTCGGTCGATATGACCGGAGCGCCCGGTCGCCCGTGTTCAGTGCAGTGAGTAGCCCAACGACTCTATTTCGTGGGAGCTTCTATTTAAGCCTCATAACCGGCTCAAGCTCACTCTCTTGGCCATTTGCATTGACATAGCAACCTTGTGAGCTTAGCCAAAGCCCTCCCACTTATCTCCATCATTGATCCATCATCATTGTGAGATTGGGAGAGAATCAAGTGCATTGCTTGAGTGATTGCATTTAGTGGCACTTGGTATTCGTGTTTCGCTGCGGGATTCACTTGTTACTCTTGGTGGTTGCCACCACCTAGATGGCTTGGAGCAACGAGGATCGTTGAGCTGAGGTTGGTGATTGTCTCCGGCTCCGATCGTGGTGATTGTGAGGGGTCTTGTGCCTTTCCCGGTGGAGCACCGAAAGGTAACTCTAATGGATTGCTTGTGTCATTGAGTTACCCTCTCATGTGGGTAGGTTCTTGCGGTATCCAATTGTGTGGATGAGGTTCGTGCAACACCTCTTAGCCGCTGAACCACCAAGTGTTGGTCGACACAACGAGGACTAGCGTGCCGGCAAGCACGTGAACCTCGGGAGAAAAATTGGTTGTCTCTTGCCCTTTGGTATTCTCCGGTGATTGATTTAGTATTCATCTTGTGATTGGTTCACTCCTCTACACGACGGTATAATCACCATACTCACTCATGTATATTCTTGCAAACTAGTTGTAGCGAGCTCTTTAGTGTAGCTAGATTTGAAAGCTTGCTTTGTAGTTTAAGTTCATCTAGTGGAGCTCTTTAGTGGAGCAAGTGTGAGAGCTTTTAGTGAGTAGCGACATAGCAAATTATGTGCTTAGTGATCATAGCAACTAGAATTGTTGGATAGGTGGCTTGCAATCCTTGTAGAGCTAGAGCAAGAGCAAATTTGCATTTCGCTATTTGTTATACTAATCAATTTGCTCTAGTTGGTTTGTAGATTTTTAAATAGACTATTCACCCTCCCTCTAGCCATATTAGGACCTTTCAACACGTTCATCCAAAAAACCCTCTCTGAAACCTTACTGATGTTGACTGGACGCTGGCACCTAGAGTCCGGTCACTTCTCTATTCAACGTCTGGTCCGTGGTCAACAGACTGTCCACGCTGCTATAGATACGGCTAGCGTCGCGTCCGGTGAGCACTGGTGTCCAGCGTCCGGTCATACTCTGACGGCTGTTGTCGATCAAATGAATTGACCGGACTCTCCAAGCTGCGTTCGGTCACAACCAAACCAACGTTCGGTCAGTCATTTAACTCTTCATTCATTTCCAATTCAAAATTCTTTGTGAATGAAGTTGAATTCTATCGATCTTAGGGCTATTTCTGAGCTACCTAGTGCTAAGTTTGATAAGTGTGCACCACACCTAATCTATTAGACTCACCTAGGTTAAGCTACTAGTCCATACCCCCTTAATAGTACGGCCAAAGGAAAAACAAAGTCCTAAACTACTCTAAGGGCGTGTTTGGGACTGCTCCGCTCCACGTTTTTCAGCTCCGCTCCACGTTTTTTAGCCAAATGGTTTCAGCTCCATGCACTCTGCTCCAGGAAAAAGGGTGGAGTTGTGAGAGCACCTAAAGAGGTACTCCACAAACTCCAGTTTTTTGTGGAGCTGCTCCACGGTGGAGTTTGTGGAGCAGAGTTTGTGGAGCAGTCCCAAACACCCCCTAAGTGTCTCTCCAACACCAAACGACACTTAGAACTAGTTCGTCCTTAACCTTGTCGTCCATCCATTGAAAACTGAAATGGTTTTCATCAACAGGGGCATGACACTCATGATTGCCCAATCAATTTTCATTACCATGACCTAACTCAAATTGCCTCTACAAAACACACGTTAGTCATAGTAATCTCGTGTCGTCATTAATCACCGAAACCCAACTGGGAGCCTAGATGCTTTTATGAGGCCCACTTATATATCAGTCACGTAAGTTTGCACAAAGCAGTGGGCAATCATATTCTCATTTCACAAAAAAATTAAGTTGATTTCACTAAACTTTTAAGGTATGATAAATTTTACAATCCGGTTTGTCGTGGGTCTCACTTATATACGTAATCGTTGAAGTGCACAAAGTAGTGGGCAGCCATACTTTTCATCCCAACGTCAATTTCGCTAAACTTTTACAGTGTGAATGTGAGGTTTTAATTCTAAGGTCCATCTCTCCGACATGGGGCCCATGTCTATATCTAGTCACATAAGTCTACAAATTAGCGGGCAATCATACTTACCAATCTCTGACAAATTTAATCAGTTTCACAAAAAAACTTATGGCGTGAACATGAGCTTTTAAATTTTTGGACTGTCTCTGTCCCTGAATAAATATATTCTTAGGAAGTTTAGAACGAATTAGTAACCCTTCATTAATTGGAATAGTTTGCACACTTATTCGAGTTGCATAGTAATTATAGCATTTACTATACCTATCCAGTTGCAGAAACTCAAGCCTAGATTGGTGGAAAAGAGAGATAAGTGAGGTGGTGCAGTAAATATGTGGGGACTTTGAGAAAAAATAAACGAGCCAGGGGACCATTGAGTCCCCTATAGATTAATTCATTTGTGGATAAATTTTGGTGCTAGGAATCTATTTATTCGGAGAGACAGAGGGACTAGTCCAACTTAACATAGAATTAGCAGGTAGTTATAATACTTTTGTTATTATTAGATCATATTATACGAACGTGGATTTAAAAGCAACTGGACTGATTGGATTGGACATTAACCATTTTGAATCAGGGTAGGTTATCATTTCTATCTTTTACCAGAAAGATTTTTAAAACCCTAGTCATTCTAGTCAAAGTAATTGACTAGAGTTTGCCTTATAAGCGTGAAGGAAATAATTCAATTTGAGCAACAATCTTTTTCCTTTTTATCGTATATTTTGAGATTTTATTTTTTCCCTATGATATAGTGGATGAGCTAATGTTCTAAGCGAATATATGGTTGTGCTTAGAAGTGATTGTCATTGTTGTTGTTGTAGCCACTCGACAACAACAATAGTTGCATAGCAGTAACCAATGCAAGCAACAACAGTAATTACAGCCATCACAACCGAGCATAGCCCATGGTTTCATCGGTTGATAGTGCATGATAGTGCATGCCGCGTTAAGATGCAATCTCAATGATGCCTAATGAGGGGCAATCATCCATTAACCAGCGCAAGTGATGTAGATGATAACTAGGATTGTTTGCTCCTCAAGCATGACCCTTGATACAAGCTCACTGCAATTGAAGATGGTCATGCTCGATTGGTTGCGACCATGTTGAATTGATGAGATCCATGGTACTATATGGCAAAGTATTCAGGTATACTCAATATTTGTATAATTTTAGTTATATTTGCATAGCTTTATCCGGTATGTAAGGAGGATATATAGGGTCATCTATTTGTTTTTGAGGAATGAATTGTTATTTGGTGATTATTAGCTTGTGTACTTACTAAACGTCAAGAACTAGTGATGGAGGTAGTCGTCTCATAATCGAGGACGCTTCAATTTTAGACTTGAACGATTCGTAGGTAGGTAATGGTCGGCTGTAGCAGTACCTATCACAACCATTATGTCACGGCACAAACTAAATATGTGATATTACTTTTGCTCAGGCCACGCTCAACGCTACACCCTGGCGTTCATCCCCAGCTTCCACGTCAGCACAAATAGTCCACATCAACCAGAACTTTAGCCCCGCAGCATGTCATAGACTCATGCAGAAGAAACAACCGTTTCGCCTGACAAAACAACTAAGCCACAGCTCAAACGCGCGTTGTGGCAGAAAAGCAACAACACTCGCGTGTTTTCTTCTGAGCAAAACTAACAAGGAGGCAGGTGGGGCAGTAGAGCAAAGCCATCAGCCTGACAGTACTCACGTTGTGACTTCAGTACTCGCATTGTGACTTTAAATGCTCAAGTAGTGCTTCGTCTACGTAGAAGCGCTTCTAAGATAAGGCCACATAAAACTGTTAGCCTCCATTGTCCTTGCCCTCGAGCGACATCACACATTCACACGTTAGCCCTGACTTAATTTTATGTCATCAATATTCACCGCTTATTTTTAGTTGATAAACAGAGAAGACAATACATGTCACGTAATGCTGAATGGGTAGTATAGGGTAGTATAGCACAGAAATAGACCAACCTGAGGATGGAGTACGGGATACGGTTATCCTAATAGGCCCTCGATCGAAAAGAAAAATATCCGTGGCCCCAAGCACCACTTGTCAGGCCGGGCGGGCGCGTCGCCTATTGCTGGACATCCATCCACTGCCCGTGCCCAGTGACGCGGGTGGCCGCTCCCCTCGCGCAGCCGCACACCGCCCGGAGAAAAGGTTCCACTGTCTACCTCGCCCCGACCGGAACCCCTAAATTCCCCAACCCTCCCTTTCCCCTTCCTCCTCCCGTCCACCACACCACCACAGCCCGGGCTCCACCCCGTGCAAATCCAGCAAGAGAGGGCGAGGAGGGAAACAGATCGGGTGGCGGCAATCGGTAGCCGGTTCGGCTGGCACGATGGGCGGCGAGGCCGAGGGCGGGGAGCGGCGGCTGGGGCGGGTGCTGAGCTTTGGGATCCCGGACACGGCGCTGGGGCTAGTGATGGGGTACGTGGAGGACCCCTGGGACCGGGACGCCATCTCGCTAGTCTGCCGCCACTGGTGCCGCGTCGACGCGCTCAGCCGCAAGCACGTCACCGTGGCGATGGCCTACTCCACAACACCCGAGCGCCTGTTCCGCCGCTTCCCGTGCCTCGAGTCACTGAAGCTCAAGGCAAAGCCACGCGCGGCCATGTTCAACCTCATCTCCGAGGACTGGGGCGGGTCTGCGTCGCCGTGGATCCGACAGCTCTCGGCCACCTTCCACTTCCTCAAGAAGCTCCACCTGCGCAGGATGATAGTATGCAACGAAGATATCAACATCCTCGTCCGCGCCAAGGCGCACATGCTCGTCGCGCTGAAGCTCGACCGCTGCTCCGGCTTCTCCACGGCCTCCATCACACTCATCGCCCGCTCCTGCAGGTAAAATCCCGTCTCTCCTAATTACTAAGGCTCATCTAGGTTTCCTGTTATTTTCTCCCCAAAAGTACGTAAGTAATTTAAGGTTTAATTAGCTCATCTACGTTTCCTGTTATTCTCCCCAAAAGTAGGTAAGTAATTTAAGGTTTAATTAGGTCACGGATTTATGATGGGATGTTTCCTGAAGGGTGGGTGGATTATGTTCTTTCCCGTCCCAAGAAAAGGGAAACGGTTCATTTAGGCCAGTCTCATTGGGGGTTTCATGGTCTAGTTTCCAACACACTCATATTTGGAAACAGTGCAGAAGAGTTTCATCCCCATGGAACTATCTCTACTCCCATGAAACTTTCATCATCTCTCTTAATCAATGCAGTGCCATGTCAGCGTATTGAATGCCCATGAAACTCTATGAAAGCCACATTGAGATTGGCCTTAATGTGTGCCTTGTTTATGATTCTAAACATTAAAACATCTATGAATCACTGCTAGATAATTCTAGCTTTGCAGCAGGAATTAGGAAGTGATGAACTTTTAATTCCATTTGTTATGGCTTTCTATATTTCACATCTTTGCTAGGTGGAGCTTATAAGAGTGATAGAAATAGACAATGTCATGAGGGCTGTAGATTTTATTAGGAGAACCTACATTCTGGATTTGGGCTCTGCATTTACCCTGCCATGTCTCTTGTCATGTGCAGGAAACTGGAAACACTTTTCCTGGAAGAAAGCAATATTGATGAGAAAGAAAATGATGAATGGATCCGTGAGCTTGCTACGAGCAATTCTGTTCTTGAGACACTGAATTTCTTTCTGACAGATCTCAGGGCATCCCCGGAGTATCTTACCCTCCTTGTGCGCAACTGTCAAAGGCTGAAAACCCTGAAGATTAGTGAATGTTTCATGCCTGATCTGGTTAGTTTGTTCCGAAGTGCACAAGCACTACAAGAGTTTGCTGGTGGTTCCTTTGAAGAGCAGGGTCAACCTGTGGCAAGTAGAAATTATGCGAACTACTATTTTCCTCCTTCACTGCACCGCTTGAGTTTGCTCTACATGGGAACAAATGAGATGCAGATACTGTTTCCATATGCTGCTGCACTTAAGAAGTTAGACCTTCAGTTTACATTCCTTTCCACAGAGGAACACTGTCAGATAGTTCAGCGCTGCCCCAATCTGGAAACCTTAGAGGTATTTTGGAACATTCTTGTAGATGCCTTTATCTTTCCTATTTTATAAGTTGCAAACTGCATTGATGCTCTTTTTTTCTGTTGGGAAAAACAGGTGAGGGATGTCATAGGGGATCGTGGGCTACAAGTTGTTGCACAGACCTGCAAGAAATTGCAGAGGCTCAGAGTAGAGAGAGGAGATGATGATCAAGGAGGTCTTGAGGATGAACAAGGTAGGATTTCACAGGTTGGGTTGATGGCTGTAGCCCAAGGCTGCCCTGAGTTGACATACTGGGCAATACATGTATCAGACATTACAAATGCAGCTCTAGAGGCGGTTGGTACATGCAGCAGAAATCTTAATGATTTCCGCCTTGTCCTTCTTGATAGAGAAGCACATATAACTGAATTGCCACTGGACAATGGGGTTCGTGCTTTGCTCAAAGGTTGCACCAAACTCCGGAGGTTTGCATTTTATGTGAGACCTGGGGCCCTATCTGATGTTGGTCTTGGCTATGTTGGAGAATATAGCAAGAGCATTCGTTATATGTTGCTTGGTAATGTTGGTGAATCTGATAATGGAATTATACAATTATCAAAAGGCTGCCTGAGCTTGCAAAAACTGGAGCTGAGGGGTTGTTACTTTAGTGAGCATGCTTTAGCTATGGCTGCACTAGAGCTTAAGTCACTGAGGTATCTGTGGGTGCAAGGATTCAGGTCATCTCCAACTGGAACTGATCTTATGGCGATGGTACGCCCCTTCTGGAACATTGAGTATATTGTTCCAGGCCAAGATGAACCTTGCCCAGAGCATCAGAAACAGATTCTGGCATACTACTCCCTTGCTGGAAGGAGGACAGATTGTCCTCCATCGGTAACTCCACTTTACCCGGCATTTTGAGTGTAGATACTTGCTTTTTGCCAGACTGAATCTCATGGTACTAAGTTCCATTGCTCCCATTATCTGTGAAGTCAATGGTTCCTGTTCTACCAATTGATGAAGACATGCAGACGTTCCATTGCACAGAACCCCAAAGCTAAGGTTTAAGCAGGACGGCCAGCTCTGAACTGAGGTTAAGCTGAGAACAATCATGAATACCTGAAGGCAGCACTTATGGATCAGCTTGCCCTAGCTGTCCAGTATGGACTTGTAAACTTTACCATTTTGAATTTTGAATAGTTTTGGAGAAACAATTTTGTAATAATTTACCCCTGTTTAGTGTACATTATCGATTTTCATTTTCTTAAGCTATATGCTGTTGTATTGCTTTATTGAACAATTATGTCAATTAGTTAATCTACAGTCTGACTTGCTGTGATTCGATTAATAATGTTTATTTATATCGCCCACAATATGGATTTTCCTTGCTGCTCGAGAGTCTGGCATACAGTTCTTATTGGTCTTATCTGGTGGCTGGTGAGTCGTACGGGACCATGTTGCTCCACGTCTGATCTGGATTCTGGAAATCTTGAATTATGCATCTATCAGTGTCATATGAAATGTTTCAGGGGAGAGACGCCATCATGCTCATTTTGGCGGAACTGCATGGGCCTGTCGCTGGGGGGCTGTCCACGCTCCGGGGTCGGAGCCTCGCAGGCGCGCCGCACGGGTGGCCCGCCTGGCCACATCCGCGCCGAGCGGGCGAGCGGCAAGCCGGCGATCTGCATCTCGCCGTCACCGCGTCGCGGCCTCGCGAGGCAGCACTCCAGTCTGCGGGCCGCAGGAGCACGGCCGTCAGGCGTCACATCATCTCCAGCTGATGATCTCCTATTTCTTCTTCCATATAATCAGTTACAGACTTACAGGAGATCCCTAAAAAATAACACTAAAATATAAGACCTTTGCTCTAGCAGATTACCCAAAACCTCATCCTCGTTTAGGAGAGGGAGATATCTCCCCTTTATTTAGGAGAGATGGTGGTGGTGGGTTAAGATCTTCTAAAGAATATAGGGATAGGAGATGTAATAGAAGATCTGCCGCAGCTGTTATATTTTCTATTTAGGGAATAGGGAAGAGTATAAGAGATTTGGTGGAGATGTTCTCAGGCATTGCCTACTCGCCTATTTGCATAAAGCCAACAAGATACCCAAGACACCTGAGCCTCGGTAAATTGCGCATTCTCTAATGCAAGTTCTATGTTAATGTTAAACTCTCCCCGATCTAAAAATTCAATGAATGATTAATTGATTAGGTCGGTTTTTGTGGAGCTGCACAATGAAGAGGACCTATGGGCGATATTTTGATCTGATGCAGATGGTACACGCTTTGATTGTGATAATTGATAGTGACCCTAGACGTGAAAATAGACGAGCTCCGCCACTGAATTATCCATGTCGACCTATGGAACAATATCGACCCACCACTGGACAATCCCTAACAGCATGGCCCGGAGCCAGAGATCATCGCATTTCACGTGTTGATGCTACGGTGCGGCATTCCGATGGAGCTCCGGTGGATCAATGATTCTTTGTCCGGACATCGGCAGGTAACCAAATGCACCGCATACTAACCTATCATTCTACTCCCTTCTTCCTAAATTACCATTTTGTTTTTTCTAGATAACTAGTTTTAAATATACATTATGTCTGGACATAGTATATATCTAAAAACTATGTATTTAGAAAAGTCAAAATGATCTGTAGTTTGAAATGGAGGAAGTATGGTAAGATGAGTTCGGCAAGGAGGCAAGGAACCGACATATCTTGATGTTTACATGGACAAAGAATCATTGATCTTGCTCCCCCGGTCCATGCTTTGGTGTCTAAGCGAAGAGTAAACAAATATAGACCATGTTCGCTTGTCTTATGAGCCGTACTGTTTTAACGAAGGAACAGTGTTTTTCTCTCACAACAAATCAGCGAACAGTACTTTCAGCCATGACTTTTTAGCGAAGCGAACAGGGCCATATTATCAGCCTGTTTGCTGGTTGGTTTCTGGGCTGATAAGCCTGACCGGTGCTGGTTTGTTGTGAGAAGAAAATACTGTTGACTGGCTGATAAGCCCTGGCTGAAACCAACAAGCGAACATGTTGTATGTAGGAGGCTCTTACAGTGGGCTTTATCACTGGATTTTTTTGGAATTGTGGGATCTCATTGCTCAAGCGACATTGCAACCTGAAATGGAACACACTCACGTTTGGCGCCTCTCCTCTGCAATCTATCAACCAAATCAGAGTACAATTTCGGCCGTGGATTCCACGTATATGGAAAAGCTGGCAAGTAGGTTTTTCAAGTGGCTCGTGGTGCATCACAAGATGTTGGACCGCAGATCAGCTTGCCCGTTGAGAGCACTGCAACATCCGGCTTGCTGTACACCTTCCCCCTATGGCCTATGCGATCAGGAAGCTAAAACAATCAACCACCTGCTCGTTTCATGCACTTTTTACTAGGGAATTACGGTTTCACCAGCTGCACAATGACGTCATATCTCTACTTGAAGAAACTTCCTTTGATGCTTGGTGGCTAAGGATCAACGGCATGGTCAATGGCCAAGTGCTGAAAGAGCTGAACTCCATCGTCATTCTAGGGGCATGGATACATGGAGTTACTGGAATAGGTGTCTGTTCAATGTATGGTCACCAGATTTGCAGGATCCTCTTTTACTAGCCAAGGAAGAAAATATTGAGCATGGCAGGGGCTAGGGGATTTCTTTCCTAGCTGCAACTGTCATGGATGGTTAAGATGTTTAAGATTGAGGTCGCGTTATTCCTCTCACTCAAAGGCACGAATGCAATCTCCCAAAACAACAAATGTTTTCATGAAACGAGTGTTTTCCTCTCACAACAAAGCAGTATAAACATCATCATAAAGCCAAATTTCAGCGAAACGAACAAGGCATATCTTATAATGATATTCAGCTCTATTGCATGACCCCACATATCGCCAGATTTAGTAACTAAATTACCAAGAAAGAACCAACAATAGCAAGATAGCATCAGAAATGTATCACTGTCTCATACAAAATGAACATAATATAGTAAAATGCACACATCCATGCTGTTCTCAAGTTCACAATACCAGAGTAATGACCTTGAAAATACATCAGTTCTGACAAATACGGATACAGGGCATATCTTATAACAACCACCTAGAACGATACACCTCACAGATCAAGCTGAGCGCTCCCTAGACACAGACCTGGAGTACGAACTGCGGCTATGAGAGTAGCTTTCCCTTGAATGGCGCCTCTTGCCAGAATATCTGCTACGTGAGGGTTCCCTTCTACTCCCTTTCTTAGGAGAGTAGCTCGTTGATCTCTCCGATTCTGGGGAATGGCTGCGAGAGTAGCTCTGTGGTGATAAACTGTGGGAATAGCTCCGCCCTCTGGTCCTTGGAGAAACACTGGGTGACCTGGAGACAGATCTATACCGGCGCCGGCTGTAGTATTGCGAAACAGAAGGTGACCTCCGTCTTCTGTAGCAGTATGAAGACCTTAAACGATACCGGCCTCTGTAGTAAGGTGAGTGTGATCGCCGCCGATCGTAGGGGGAATATGATCCATGCCTGCCGTTAGGAGAGTATGATCGCCTTCTGTCATATGGAGAGTATGACCGGCCTCTACCATAAGGAGAATAAGACAGGTCACGATCAGGTGAGTAGAGGGAACTGTAACGGTCCCTCCAATCAGGCGAGTAGCGGGAACTGTAACGGTCCCTTCTAACAGGTGAGTAGCTTGGGGAGTACCTCCATCCTGATGTCATCATGTAACAAAAATTGTCAATAACGACAGGTTATATCAAAAAAAAATTACAGTACTTATATTTCTCTGGGAGAAAATGGGGCAAAGACATCCAATGATTATAGGTGATTAGTTCATGAAAACACATACCACGTGATGATTTTGTGCCAAGATACCTCCCAGGTGTTGGGGTTCTACCCCGTCTTCTCTTTGCCTGTGTAATAGGGGACCAGATAAGAAAGTGTCTTTGATACCAAAAGCAAGAGAGCAATTATCTACAATCTGAATAAACACATTTAAGAAAAATAATAATATACAATGTAGGGCATACAACCCTTTGGCTGAGGTGGCATGGTTTGGTGTTAGGTTGTATCAGTTTGTTGCAGAGCAGCTACCAACATCTATCCTGTTGCTGTCAACAAAATCTTCAATGGACAGAAGAACACTAAAATGTTCAGTGTAGAGTACTAAGCAACGATATAAATATCATTCAGTAGCGAAGTTAAATAAGGAAGTTCAGATGTTCCCAATCTCATGATTTTACCTTCTCAACAGTTATGACCCGACCTTCCAACACAGAACGGTCCAGATATTTGATGCAGCGATCTGCCTCCTTAACAGTAGCCATGGTAACAAAACCAAACCCCCGTGATTCCCTTGTCCAAGGATCATGCACAATGCTTGCATCAATCACCTAAAGCACAATCAGTAAGCCAAGGGAATTGTTCAACATATGGGAATTTCTCAGAAATGACAATTTAAAGTTGCAGAAATTTTCTGTGAAGGTTACCTCTCCCTCGGTGGAAAAGTGGTTCTCCAGATCTCGATCCGTTACACGAGTTGACAAACCAGTTACATACAGGTTGTTCCCAGCGTTTTCAGCATCACTTGAGTCCACACTCCTAAATAAATTATACGATTATCAAATACTCCTCGGGTTACAAGCAACATAGATGTTTGATGTCTAGACTTTAAACATATGACATTGGCAGAAACACATTAACTGGCACAAGGATAAAGGGCATACCTAGAGCGACTTCTGTACCTTGAATAGCTGCTTCTCGAGTAAGGTGAGCGAGATCCATACCTTTCACTTGAAAAAAAAACTATCACAACACCGAGCAAGATCATTTGAAGACAAATCGAAACAAGGCTCAAGGTTTTTAGATAGTAGGCTGTTCAAGGTTTTAAAATAGTGCCTACCTTGATCCTCTTGAGTAAGACATCGTCTGCAAGACAAAGAGATAAATATATTAACACTTGCAACAAGCATTCAAATATACAGCCTAATAGATGATGACTTTGTGAACATATCTAAAATAAAACTGAATGAACTTCTGAAACACTCTGTGACTGCATAACATATCGCACAAGAAAGTGAACAGCTTACAGAAAGAATCCAAATTTGTCAATTTATCACAGAACATGCATAATATATTAACGCAGATATTTCTAATTAAATAACTTTCTCATGCTGCTAGCTGATGTATCAGTCGACTGATAAGCAATGAATTATAACCACCCTTTCTACCTCTTTCTTCTGAAGGAAATTTGTTCTTCCCTTTTAATCCCCTTTTTCCACATAACTTTCGTCCCGAAAGTGCACCATACATTGCAACCCTGACATCCAGAGTTTGTTCCTGTTCCCATCCCGAAAGTGCACCATACATTGCAACCCTAACATCCAGAGTTTGTTCCCAGTACATCTTTTATTTTTGTTTTAAGATAAAGTTTATTTGCATGAAAAATCCTTTCAATATTGAATAATCAATTGTTAGGAAAATACCATAATGACTGATGTAGGCCAATTAAACACCTTTCTGAAAATCTATAGCTTGCGCTTCAAAATTTAATTTGGTCCTCCAAACATAAGTTTAACACCAAAACAAAAACGCTGCACATGTTAAGTTCAATTTCTTCCGTCATCTTACAAATCTAGTACGTCTTCAACCTCAATCAAACACCAAAATGAGATCAACCAATCTCCAACCCTAATTCTATCGCTACCTCATGGATAAGCCAATAATTTTCACTCGTAATGGCATCATCACAATTATAGGATGGCAGACCATGGATCTAATGTTGTAAACCTTCGTTCAGATGTTCCTAAACAAACACATCACGAGTAAAAGTTCCAGTGGCGTATAAAACCATCAGATCAGACATGCGCTACATAACCAACAGAATTAAAACCGAAAATTATATATTTTTTCCTCACCATCACAAACTCGCGCCGCTCGACTATCATATTAATGGCCTGATAGATAGAACACGAAAGAAATGGGGGGCTGTACCTTTCGTGGCCGCGACGATCCTGCCCCCGGGAAGCCGCCGCCTCGTCTCGATCCTTCTCTTGCGTCTCGAGTCGGTCACGGCACTGTATGGGCCTGTTCTTTCTGCTGGCCTGAGTGCGCCTGTGAATAAATGGACGTTGGGCGGCGCCTGGTGGGTGCTTGGGGAAGGTTCTGGATCGGGGCGGACGCGAAACTCTTCTCAAGTGCGGTTGAATCGGCTGGGCGCAAACACTCACGCACACCACGCACCACGCGCACATGGCGCAGTTTCGCGCCATCGTTTTTCCCCCCCCTTTTCGCACGGCATCAATCCGTGCTCCCCGTCACAAAATAAATGTGGAATTTCGACTCAAACATTTTTAAAGTTTAACTAGATATATATTAAATATAGTATCAATAATTATATCTCTATAGATAGATTTATTATAAAAATATATTTTATGATCAATCAAATATAATATGTATTCTATATCATAAATAATAATATTTATATTTTTTAAATACTTATATATATAGTCAAATTTATGTTGAGAAACGAGATATAAATTTATTTTAGAACAGAGGAGCCTCCCTAAATCCCGTTTCTCAATGAGTTAAAATTTCTAGGTTTAACTAAATGTAGATCAATAAAGTATTAATATGTGTCCTTCCCTCTTTAACGCTTCCTTTCCCAAGCTGGAGCCCACGCCAAGCCAGAGGCGCGGAGCTGGTACCTGCCTAGTGAGCAGGGCGGCGACACCAGGCCGATGACGCATGAGGCGGGTGGCACTCGAGCTGCTGCAGGCCGTAAGGGGCAGTTGGTGCTCGGTAGGCTTGGACTAAAAACTCGTAACTCAGCTAGGCTTGCTCGACTCGCTCGTTAGTGAATCGGCTCAAGGTTGGCTCATTTAAATTTCTAAATGATCTATGCCAGTATGTGAACCAAACAAACCAAGGTAATTCACATGACACTAACTGGAATCGACCCATATCACTTTCAGCTCAGCCCAATATTGGATCTTTGTATGTATTTTCTTTGGATTGGGGATTAGCGACTACTTTTTATTTGATTCTTGTAAAGATTGTTGTTGTTTTTTTCTTGAACGATGAAAGATTGTTGTTCCTTGTGTTGATTATTGGTGTTTATTTGCACCATGGAGTTGCCGCAATGGATTTTCATGTGTCATGCTAGGCTAGAACATGGTGATTTTCTTTCTCTCCTCTTTTACACCAGTGAGCCAAACGAGCTGGCTCGAGCTAGCAAGTGAGCCGAGCTGAGCTACCTTTCTGGCTTGAACTTATTAGCCGTACCGTTTCAGCAAAATAACAGTATTTTTCTCTCACAACAAATCAGCATCAGCATCAGTCATTTTTTCAACCAGCCGAACAGAACCTCTAACGAGCCAAGCTGGCTCGATATCGAGCCCAATGCTTGTATGCAGGAAAAGAGAAGGACAAAGACATGGGACCGGTAGCGTTGGCTTATGCGGCTGAGAAAAGAACGAGGAGAAGATAAGATGGGCAAAACGAAAGATAAATAATTAAAGGAAGGATGACACGTGGGATCTACGAATGACAAGTGGGTCCGTGGGTAACGATTGATAATGGTGTTAAAGTTCTATACCATCTAATCTATCTAAATTCATCCAACCAAAAAAATAGATAGATCTATTCCGGCAACCAAACACGAAATAGAAATAAAGACATTTTTATAGTAAAGTTTTAGATGGGTCCATCCTAGGGATGTCAATGGACCCCGATCACCGATTTTCCATGGGAAATTCCTTTAGAACATCTCCAAGAGTTCCCAAAACACTCTCCCAATCTAGGACTTTTAGCAAGATTAAAAAAACACATTACCAATAACTCCCAACCTCACGTTCCAATCTTTTAGCACTCGAAAAAAACAACCCCCACTCACGGAAACATACGCCTACTCGGACCACGCGGATCCTCCTCGGGAGTGCATGGAGCCTTCACCTGAGACGGCTACGCGCGACATGACAACCTCCTCCGTTGTAACGGACCCTGCGTCGGCGTTGCAATGGAGTTTTGACTTCCAGTTATCGGTTTCCGAGCAAACCGAGGCCATGGCCATTGCCGACCAGATATTCCTCAATGGCCTGCTCCTTCCCCTGCATCTTGCGAGCCAGCATGGCCATCAACCGGTGCTCATGTGGTCACTCTGGCTGGACTCGTCTCAGAGGATGATAGCCTCTGCGACCACAAGCAAGCGGCATCCGCCGACCCGGTCCGTGTCCCAGAACTCTTTGCCAATCTTCGTGGTGGCACGGAGACCACCACCGCGAGTGCAACGGGCACAATGTTCAGCATGGCCAATGTGGCAGAACCGCCCGAAATAACACGCTTTCGGAGACGTTCGTCTTCCACTAGACACTAAGCACCCTGAAAGTTAGCTACACCAGACAGTTCCATCGAGCACACCCCACGAGAGAACTCGAATCAATCCATGTTTTACCTCTAGAATCCAATAATGAGTACGAGCTTACAATATTTAGTCCATTTCATACAACAAGAGTTCTTTAAAATTATTTATTACAATACCAGGGTTCAGAGTGCGATAATTAAACGGCGGAATAAAAATAAACATCTAGCGAAAATGATACAAGGATCCGTCTGTGCCCACCAGAAGAATCCTCCATATAAGAGTAACTCCTCAAGCTGCACCTACAATAGGGTAAAAAACCCCTGAGTACACAATGTACTCGCAAGACTTACCCAACTAGTGGGAATAGTTTCCCGACTCCAAGAGGTATGACAGGCAATATGGGTTTGTTGTTTTTTTATTTGCGAAAAGCATTACTAGAAGTACGTCCTTAAGATCAAGTTTAATTAGAAGTCATGATTACTTCATTAGCTAACCATTCTAGGTAAGCACATGTGCTACCTTCAAGCAAGGGTTGAGTAATGCGAACCATTTTACCATCTTTCATATTCCAGTTCTTACTACGGTGCTAGACCATAGCTAAGTCATACCGTCTCATAGAAATGGTGATTCGCGAACCATGTATCCTAGCTAAGTATCCCGAAACACATGCCCCGTTTACACCCAGGCACAAACAAGATCAACCCATTTCACTCCTGTCACGGGGTCCAGATCCCCGTCCAAACTTAGACTCCAAGCCCCCACACTTAAGACTCGGTCTCAATATGGTGCTTAGACCTCCACCTTTTTCTACCTCCAATTAGTCGGTTTGGAAAGAGCCGAACCCACGACAAGAGCGTAACGAGCCTTTCCGTTCCCATAAGCAAGTATGTGCTTAGGATAATAAGTCTGTGACCTGACTACCATCCATAGCAACGGACGGTCCTCAATCGACACGGATAGAGAAAGTAGTGTAACCAAGCTAAGCCCAATGGCCGCGGGACACAACTCATCACACCCATCATAACCCATACCATATCCCTTTCCGGTCTCCATTTTTCTTTCATCATTTTTAACATGAGAGTAATTATAATAATCACCTATTGTGAGTAATGGTAGTTACGCTACCGAAAACCTAAGCATAGCAGCTACTTAAATCTGCACTAGTAAGACTCATAGGATAGATATATCTATGCATGTGGTTTTATAAAATTCTTGTAACGTAAATGCACAACACACATATATACGGTGAATTATAAAATAAAGGTTATGCACCGGGGCTTGCCTTGGGCAGGCGCGGTGTTAACTGCATCAGTCAGTGGCGACTCCGGGACCTTCTCCTATGCATGAGAATCTCCTTATCGTACTCCTCGACGATCTCCTCGAACTCGGGCTCGTCGATGGTCACGATCTCCGCCAACTCGTTCTCTACATGCATGTGATGATGATGCAACACTTAGCATTTAGGCAACAGCAACTCTTAAAATAAGAATATGCATACCAAGCTACTAAGCTAGCTCTAATGACTAAGATACCAAGCTAACTATCATCTTCATCAAGCAAAGTGTTGGGTTGAACTAACAAACCCTTAGCTTGGCAATTTAAGGATATATCTTTATTTCTACTGGTGATTTAATGTATATCGAAATAAAGAGCATTTAACTACCCTAATGCTTGATCTATTCTAAGGCTACAAAAATTACAGTGAACACATAATAATACAATGAAGCTACTGTAAAAATTTTAGGATTAAAGCTATCACCAATTTACCACAAAAATTCCTACAATATTTACCCTACTAATGTTAAGTACTTTCAAATGATTTGATAGGCCTTAGCATCAACATAGATATGGATGAAGTAACTACACTATCAGGTAGACAATGATTTTAGGAACCTAACAAAATTAGTTTAATAATTTTTGGATATCTACACGAATTTATATTAAATATACAAGTTTAGCTCAAAAACTAATTAGAAAAGCAATAACTAATAAATTTAGAAAAAAGAAAGACGATTTCACTGTGTGGCCCACATATGCGTGGCCCGCGCGATGCGAGGCGGCCCACGGCGGAGAAGCCCGCGCGCGCTGGCGCTTTTGCATAAACACCCCCGCGCTATCCTCTATTAACACGATGACTATACACACTATTTCTACAGACAACGTTTATGCAAGAAGGCCCTCGTATTAACCTGTCTTCACATCGGAGAGGTCCGTGACGCCCCCACACTCACCGGTGCAGCATTGGCCGGCACTGGGCGCCTACGCCGGCCACCTAGGACCTGCGCGGGCCGACCTATCGGGTCGATCACCATCCTCGACCCGAGCGAGTATGCTAAGCGGCAACACAGGGCGGTGGGATTCGCTAGAGCCAGCTGTGACGGTGCGTGGCCGTCCGCGACGGTGGCACGGCTGCCCCAGCGAACCAGAGCACCTAAGAACTAAACTGGCTAGCGAGGAAGCATCAGTAGACTATCGTGGACCTAGCCGAGGTGACGGTTGGGATGGAGGATGGCAGAGGAGGTGTGGCCACGTGCGGGCGAGCCGTGCGGGGCGCACTGCGGTGGCGTGGTCGTGTCAGCGGTGACGGGGAGGCGGTAGCGGTTCCACTAGCGGTTGCAAGGTGGAGAGGGAGGCAAGGCAAAGCTAGTGGTGTAACTGGTTGAGCTCGAATGGCAACCGGAGCGGATTGCCACCCACAACAGCCCAACATGGCCTTAACGGCTCGGCGGCGGGGAAACTCCAAAATCGGAACTCGACCGGGCGCCATTCAAGGCGGGGTGGGGACAGGTAGCTAGGCAGCTTGATGATAGAGCCAGCGACATGACGAATTGACTTGAGGTGATCTCTCCCTGACGAATTTAATGGCGTGGCTCGGCCATGGTAGCAGAGAGGGGGAGAGAGAGAAACGGG